AGATTAAACCTGTGTTGTTGATTTTGGAAAACACTACTGAGGCTGCCTTGCTTCCCTTCAGAAAATCTATATTTTAACCAACTTACATGACATTCTATGTTATATTGACTTTATCATATGAAAGTTTATGGTGCATTTCATCAATTAATACATAAATGTGAAAATCGTAATTTTCAACACAAATAATAGTCTGGCTACCTTAAATGATGACATCACCCCATATTCAAGTAATGTTTTATCAGTATTTTCAATCTTTCATACAATCAGTTATACATTTATCTATTTATACAACGCCAAAGTGGTTGACAGCGTGAGTAGCCAGTCGGTAACCTGTCTACCGCGTTTTTTTGGGGGGGAGGGGGACGTCTACATATGTACCCAATGTTCTATATATGTACTCAATTTTCATACTTTCTTCGCATTTCGTACAATTGTGACAATGTTCGGATTTTACTAGACTATTTATTTAGTTCAAGGAGCGAGAACCTTAATATATTGTGGTGTTTTTAAGTCAATAACAGAAATCAGTCGTGCGTTCGCTATGTGGGAGGTAAAATATAATACATCTGATACAATAGTGGCCATTTAAAAAAAGTGGAAATAAAATATAAATACATAGTATAAAAACACCACAATTATATGCATATAAACACACCTGTAGCAAAAACAAACGCCGGCACCGTATGTATTCGAGATGCTCCAGTTTTACCGTTCTTGTATTCAACATAAGCTCGCACCAGTCCACATGGGCATTGGACATTGACTGCAGTTTCTGGTTCCTGGACATCACTAACAAAGCCGTGATCAACAGCATATCTTGCTATAGCAATAGTTGCATGGCCACACATCGTGCCGTATCCGCTGCTGTGTATGAAGAAAGCGGCAATATGTGCTTTCGGGTGGTCGGGTTCGACCAACACAGCACCGTACATATCAACATGCCCCCTTGGCTCCAGAATTAATAACCGCCGTACGTGATCCAGGTTGTTTTTAAAGAACTTCATCTTTTCGAGGACGTCTTTACCTTTGATTTCAGGACATCCACTTGTGACAAGACGTACAGGGTCTCCATTAGTATGCATCTCAACTGTTTTGATATTCATCGTCTTTTCGTATGGCGTAGATATAATGCGAATTACTTCAGCTGGTGACACCTTTGACATACCTTGATACTGTCCCTCTATAGACCGGCTTTGTAGATTACTTGATTACGTGACTCATCGCGAAAATAAATAAATTCCGTATCCTTTTTCAGTAACGGTGGTTTATCAGTGCCATTATTAAAGAATTCATTGATGCCTCCAACTCTTTCTAACAACTTTAAGCTAGTAATTAAACTTTACACTTTTTTAAATCGGTGTTTTTATTTTAAATCGCAATAAACTCGCAATAACGACTTCATGCTCGTAGTAACGACAGTAAGTCAATGTCTTTCAAAATCGTAAGAAAAAATGACTAAATCCATAACAACGACCCCAAACTTGTAATAACAACTGTAAATTTGACGGATAATATGAATCATTTTTTATAGATGGTTAAAAAACATGATTACCATTCATAACTAGTTTGTGGTAATAATACATATTGAATAAATAATTCGTGATAAGTAGTCACTTTCTATAGTGTTGTCAATGTGCTTAATTCTTGAGTAAATATAACTATTGGCCTGTCTTGCTAACTCTCGTGAATCTCAGTCAATAAGAAATCCATCTTTTAGTGGATCGTCTTCTTCTACTGTAAAGTTGGCACTGCCAGCATAGTAACCACGCCCCTTCAGTTCAACAATGGCAGCATCGAACTTGCCACATGTTGTTGGACGAACAACTTTGCCAATGAAATTGCATCCAATTAGGTTTTGAAATTCTCTGGGTTGGTCTACAGTAAGTAAGCCCTTGTGATAGAGCAGAGCTATTCTACCAGTTGTACCACTCCCACATGGCGATCGACTCACCTACGTAAAGATGAAAAAAATATGATTTGGTTCAATCTGCGAAACACATTATTATGAATGTCGTTGTAAAGCATGACAGTGCATGCTTATCCTGACTGGGGGGGGGGGTGCTCCATCTTGTTTTAAATATTGTTTTAATTTGGTAAAATGGGTAACTATCACAGCTGTAATGGTTACCCCGTAGTACACTGCCCTACTTTACACACATACAATCTGAGTATGCAATACAATCTACGTTCACTTATGCTCAGATGGGTACAGTCTTTACGAGATCTCGCGACTGTGCACCACACAAATGACATTCACTTGAGACCACTTTCTGTTTTGCGGTACCATAACGGCGGTACCATATACATCTTCACTTTCGCCGTTTTTCGAAATTGTAATAACATTTTCGTTAGGAGTTGGAAAAAGTGACAACTCATTCAAATAAAACACTAAGAAATTAAAATATCACAAAACACTGCAGTACATGGTGAAACCATGGGTGGAGGGGTGCTCAAAGAAAACCTGAGCAAATCCTACTTCAATTCGATTAGCATGCACACTGCCACGATTCGCCATGGAATGGTGCGCGCGTGTCACAACGGGGAGTGTTTGGCACACAAATGACGTTTACTTGAGACCACTTTTAGTTCTCTAAATGCCATTTCAGTTTTGTGGTACCAAATAAGCGTGTAGAAGCAGATACATTCACTTTCGCCGTTTTTTTTTTCAAATTTGTATTAACATTTTCGTTAAGAGTTAAATAAACTCATTAAATGACACTGAATGTTCGGAACTGTCGCCTGACACAACATTTCATTGAATAACGTACATATGGAGTACCGATCATACCTGAGAATCGCCGCATATCATAACATTAACCGTGGGTCCATCGTCATACACATCTTTTCCGTCACTCATTACCGTACCACAGATGAACGATAAATCGTCATTGTCGGGGTGTTCCACTTTCACCTGCTTTACCAGTGCTCGGTTGAGTGCACCAGCGGCTGCGATGATATGACGGACAGGGGAAGTACGCATGTCCAAACCAAAGACGTCAGCCGATACATAGGCGTAGAAAGCCCCGCCGTAACTTATATCAACCTTTAATTTACCGTAACCGACTACTTCGATTTCAAAGTCTGAAAATAATCATTCAATTCCAATCAGATTAATATCCAGTAGAATTGTCAGTAACGGGTTATGTTTTATTACTATTGGGTGTATTTATTAAAATAATGTTATATTTAATACTTATTGAAATTAAAAGGGGACATAAATAGCTGAGATTGAAAAAAAAAATCATTTGTTGCATAAATTGATATGTCAACGCAATTTTTAGTAGGTTAATAGCAAGCTGTAGACAAAAATGTACAGTAAATAAGTGACAATGCATTCACTGTGCTGCATATAACAATTTGGAAACTAATATTATAACTACAGATCGCAAATTGTTTACAGTCATTCGATATGTAAATCTATCAAGTGTACGCCCCCAAGTTGTCCATTACGGTCTTGCTAGTCTTTGACACATGGAGTAGAAAAATGTATTATTAACAAATATTAACAATTTAGTTTGTCTTTTGTCTACCCCTCATGTATAGTGGACTGTTCTTCTTGACATTGACATTTTTTAATAATACATATTTCCTACATTAACCCTCACCTTGTATAAATCCGCTATTATATATAATCTGGCTTATTGATAGGATATACTCTGAGTTGGCTTAGCAAATTGAAGCACACTATGCCTGTTGTCAAGCATTAAATGATGACATCACCCCATATTCAAGTAATGTTTTATCAGTATTTTTGTGGGTGATATTCGCTCACACTGTTTATTATGGCAATGTTACAACAAAGAATATACAATGTAACAAGAAGGCAACTGATGAATACACGATAGAATGCCCTTTTTATAGGGTTTAGTAGGATTCACACCTATGGATTAAAATAGGAGGGAGACACAGTGATAGGTTTTCAATATTGATACATCGTCTTCGAATCGACCTTGCAACTGATTCCTATTGCGTTCGTGCTGTCTATTGATTATTATTAAATGGCTTATGTAACTCGACTCTGTTAATTTATAATAGAGATACATGTATTAAAGTGCGAAACTTGACATGTAATAGCTTCCACTGGCTATATCTCAGCTAATACTGCTTGTAAATGAACAAAATAAAGACGAATAGATAAAGCAAAACATGATCTAATAATACAACTAAATTTCGAGCAAGAATGAATAAATCTGAATCAATGAGGAAAAACACAAGTGGATAAGCATCCACGACAATTTTCAGTCTTTCATACAATCTATCTATTTATACAACGCCAAAGTGGTTGGCAGCGTGAGTAGCCAGTCGGTAACCTGTCTACCGGATCCGTGGTACATCGTGGCCATTTCACAATGTGATCTCATCCTTACAATTAATTAAATAAAAAAATAGTATATTAGTATTATTTTTGACTCGCTGT